GAGGAGGAGGAGGAGGAGAAGGTGGAGGTAGTACGAGCAGCGCTGATTGGCGCTGCTGGGGGAACCAGGTGCTGGGGCCGCTGTTCTCTGGCCCGCCCTCCCTCCTCTCACCCGCCTCCCTTGCGCAGCTCGTCACCGAGGGGAGAGGAGGTGGAGGAGGAGGAGGAGGAGGAGGAGGAGGAGGAGGAGGGGGAGGAGGAGGAGGAGGAGGAGGAGGAGGAGGAGGGAGGAGGAGGAGGAGGAGGAGGAGGAGGGAGGAGGCGGAGGGAGGAGAGGAGGAGGAGTGAGGCGGAGGAGCGGAGGAGCATGATGATGAGGAGGAGGAGCAGCAGGAGGAGCAGGAGGAGGAGCAGGAGGAGTAGGAGGAGGAGGAGGAGGAGGAGGAGGAGGAGGAGGAGGAGAAGGCGGAGGATGAGGAGGAGGAGCAGGAGCAGGAGGAGGAGGAGGAGGAGGAGGAAGAGAAGAAGGATGATGATGAGGAGGAGGAGGAGGGGACCTGGTGAAGGCGCACGGGCGCTTCTGCGGATCGCGGGCGCTCGAGGCTTCTGCGAAGTGCTTCCTGCGTTTGGCGGCATTTGCTGCGGTGCTGTCGTCGACATACTGTGTAAGGACGTGGCAGCAGATGGTCGGGGGTTGGGACCTGGCCGAAACCTGGCGTGGCCTCGCGAGGGCCAGGGCACGTCTTGGTTGAGCGGGCCACCTCTCGTCGGGAGGGGGCTGGGGCGTTCCTCGGAGTTCGATCGCTCCCCGGCCTTCGGCCACGAGTGTGCCGACGCCCTGGCTGCTGGGACAGCAGAATCAGCGTGGACCGAATTCACACCGGCTCCGATGCCACACGCGGGTAGGAGGGACGCTGCGGCGGCCTTGGTCCGACGGCGGGCGCGGAGAGCCCTGGGAGCGCCCATCCAGGCCGTGCTGCGGCCCTCGGAGCGCCCCCTCCGCGAGGGGGGCCCTCCTTGACCGAAGGTGGCTCGGGCTTCGCAGGCCTCCGTTCTTCAGGGGGGTCAGGCAGGGACCATGTTCTCCAAAGAAGTTCCAGTTCAAACCCTACTAATTGGTCTGTTGGCCCCCCCCTAATTCCGACGTCCCCACCTAGTTCCTGTGGCCACTGACGCAGCTGCTGGGCCGCACGGCCCAGTACGTTATACAGCACAGTGGACTGGAGTGTGCGCGTGTGGAAAACAGGATCGTCCTCATCGTCATCAGCATCGTCAGCATCACCATGTCAACGCTGGCTGATATTTGTTTGTCGCAGGTGGGATTGAAATTCGAATCCAGATTCGATGTGCCAGCTGTGCGAGACGCGGTCAGAGGGCCGTAGCCCTGGTGAAGCTTCTTCTTCTTCTGCAGGGCCCAGACTAGTAGGGGGGAAGGCCCCCCATCCCGATCGCACGCTTCAGTCTTGGATGCGGTTCGGCCTCGCATTCCACGGCACCTCCGGTAAGACTTGCACGACCGACAGCCGGCGGCTCGCGAAACCGCGCATTCCGACCCCCAAGAGGCGAGTATCACCTCGCCCGAATCCGTGCACGCAGGTGCCCTCACCCCCCGGGGCCTCCGCGAGCCCTCAAGCTGCAGAAGGGCAGCGGCTCTGCGCTTAGCTCCTGAAGTTGTTCTATATTGCCAGTCCGCTTGGCTTCGTTACCCTTGCTTGAGTCAGCGTAGTGCACAGTTGCATAGTCCTGCGTCGCCCCCGCGTTCTTCCCCTGCCCCCTCCCGCCTCCCCCTCCTTCCCCTTCCCTCCCCCCCTACCTCAGCCATCCCTTCCCCTTAGATCAGGGGACAGACATGGAAAGGAACAGGAGAACGACGACGACGACGATGACGACGACGACGACGACGACGACGACTGCTACGACGACCAGCGACCGCGATGGAGATTGCGACGGCGACGACGAACGACGGCGGCGACGACGACGAGCGGCGACGCCAGCGGACGCAGACGCCGACGACGACGCGACGGCGCTGACGACGACAACGCTCACGACGAATAGCAACCGCGACGGCAACGGCGACGGCGACGGCGGCGACCACGGCGACGACGACGACGACGACGACGAACAGCGACGAATAGCGACGGTGTTAACGACGACGACGACGACGACGACGACGACGAACAGCGACGACGACGACGAACAGCGACGACGACGAACAGCAACGACGAACAGCGACGGCGACGGCGACGACGAGTGGCGACGACGACGCACAGGCAGGGCCCGAAGCGACGGCGACGGCGAACGGCGACGGCGACCGCGACGACGAGCGGCGTCGACGAACGGCGGCGGCAACAACGGCCTGCAGCGACGGCGAACGTCCACGGGCGGCGGCTCCCTCCCCCGAGGCGCCTGCGCGGCCGGGGCGCTGCTGTCCACGTGCGGGGCCTTCGTGCCGGGCGCCCGCGTGGCGGTAGGAGAGCGGCACGGCTCCCGGCGACGAGGGGGCGACGCGGCGGCGGCGACGGCGGCGCGCTGGCGGTCGCGGCGGCGGCCGCGGCCGCAGCGGCGGCAGCCAGCGACGGCGGGCGGCGACGGCGGGGGCAACGGCGGCGGCGCTGACGGCGGCGGTGCCCTTCGGCGGCCTCCGGCGGCCCGTTCAGCGGCGCGGCGGCGACGACGACGTCGGCGACGGCGACGGGGCTCTCGAAGCGTTGCGAGGCGTCCCTGGGGGGCCCTGGCTTGGGGGATCCTGGAAATTTGTCGGGCCTTGGGATAGCTTCTGGCAGCTGCACCTCGTCGAGAGCCGGGGACGCCGGGCTCCCCCTCCGGGGGGTCCCTAGCTAGAAGGGGGGGGGGCTTAGGAGCTACCCCCCCCTGCCTCCTTTTTCCGGTCACGGGGTAAGCCCGGGCTCTCCTTTTCAAAGGGGGGGGGAGGGGGGGAGCCGAAACCAAAACCGCCCTATGTGGCACCTAGAACATTTGCATCTGGCACCTCGAATTTGTCCGTTGGCTTCGACGCAGCGAAGCCTTGAGCCGATGAGGACGCAGCTTTCTTGGACAGAACCCTGGCGATATCTTGGGACCATAGGGGTCATCTTGGAGCCATGAGGATCGCCAGGGCCCCTCTCTTGGGCCGTCTTGGGGCCATCTTGGGCCGCGATGCCGCGCTGGGGCCGCTGGGGTCATCCCGCCATCTTGGGCTATGCCTGCGGGGGGCCCGGCCCGGGGTCTCCAGGCAGGTCTCAGAGACTCGCCGCAACGGCGGGGAACGTCAAGGCGCTGGAGGCCAGGACCTGGTCACACTTGGGACCATAATGGTCCCAGGTGTGACCAATCTCGGAAGATGGCGGCCAGCAGGCATACGTTTCACGGGAACCGGCGGCCCAAGCCGGAATTGGGCCCCGGGGAGGCTCCTCAGGAGCGGCCCAAGCCGGAATTGGACCCCGGGAACCCCCTCAGGCGGCGGCCCAAACCGAAATTCTTCACGCTTCGCGTATCCCCACCAGCCCATCTCAAAACAGCAACTCTTGCGAAGCATGCCGACAGTCGTGTTTTTCAGGCGTGTTTCCGCCTGCCCCCGCACATCTCCCCTGTTCCTCCTTCCTCCCGCCTCCTTGTACATCCTCCTTGTGGTGGGAGCGGGAGAAGGACGAGGCGGAGGAGGAGGGAGAGAAAGCGCTCCTCGTGGTTTGAGTCGTTTGGGGTTTCTCGTCCTGGTGTGAGTCGTTCGGGCCCTTCTTCCTGGTGTGAGTCGTTCGGGCTCTTCGTGGTGTGAGTCGTTCGGGCTCTTCGTCCTGGTGTGAGTCGTTCGGGCTTCTCGTGGTGTGAGTTGTTCGGGCCCCTCGTCCTGGTGTGAGTCGTTCGGGCCCCTCCTCCTGGTGTGACTCGTTCGGGCTCCTCGTGGTGTGAGTCGTTCGGGGCCCTCGTCGTGGTGTGAGTCGTTCGGGCTCCTCGTGGTGTGAGTCGTTCGGGCGCCTCGTCCTGGTGTGAGCCGTTCGGGCCCCTCCTTCTGGTGTGAGTCGTTCGGGCTCTTCGTGGTGTGAGTCGTTCGGGCCCGTCGTCCTGGTGTGAGTCGGGGCGTCTTGGGGGCCTCTTGGCGGCCCCAGGGGCTTCTAGGAGCGTCTTGGGTGCCTTGGGGGAGCCTCTTCGGGCCTCTTGGGAGCCTCTTGGAGGCCGTTTGGGGCGTCTTGGGGGCTTCTCGGCGGCCCCAGGGGCTTCCAGGAGCGTCTTGGGTGCCTCGGGGGAGCCTCTTGGGGCCTCTTGGGAGCCTCTTGGGGACCTCTCTTGGAGGCCTCTTGGGGCCTCTTGGGGCTCTTTGGGAGGGGTCTGGGAGGTATCTTGGGGCCATCTTTCGGGCGATCGATCACAGATGGGGCGGGTTTTTTCTCCCCCCCCCCGTCGGGGCCAGAATCCTCGTGAGGGGTGTCGTTTTTTAGCCCTCCCAGGAGTCGAAAAAGACCCCTCCAACCACCCGCGAAAGGACCTCTCCAGGTCCAGGGGGAGGGGGTAGGGGGAGGGGTAAACCCCTCCCCGAAGGGGAAGAAGGGGGTTGAGAACAGAGCGGGCTCTCTAAACCACTCACGCCCAAAGGGCTGGTGGGATTGGACCCCGGGAGGCCACCGAGGCCCTGCCCAAGCCGGAATTGAGCTTCCGAGGCCCCGGGAATCCTGGGTTGCTCATTGTACACCGGCCGTGTCCAATGAGCAAGTCGCCTTCGTTGAGAGACGCCCGCCGGAATCTCCCGGGAGGGCGGCGTCAGGCCTTTTTGGGGATTCTGGACGCGACGACGACGAAGTCTTCCATTCATTCCCATCATCATCGACGCTGCCATCATCATGACTTACCATCACGTCTGTCAATAGGGGGTCAGGCTCATTGGTTTGTGCTGCCACCCACCCCCCGGGGGGGTCAGGCTCATTGGATTACCTCCCCGGGAAACCTGCTGCTGCACCACATGCGCTTTGATGGGACAGCTATGGATTGAGGTGATGGTGAAGACAGGTCACGATGATGGCAGCGGGATGTCGACGGGACGTTCCCTGATGACTGGGCCTGGGGCGACATGTGATGGTGAATGTCGGCATGACGAGATGGGCGTGCGCGCATGCACATATGGTGTGCATGTACCAGCGTCGGCCACTGAGTCATTAAGCAGTGGATGTGGTATCTACTACAATCAACGTGGTGCAATCAGTGCGGCGTGAGCCTGTAGTGTAAGCTCCGCGGTGCAATAGATGTGGCGCGATATATCTATGTGGCGCGAGGTGATATTGAAGGCTATGCAAGTCATGATGCTGTCAGCGTTGATGATGATGGGGATAAACGGATATGAAGGCCACGCAAATGATGGTGATGGTTGTTGGATTATGCGGCAATGTCAGGCCACGTCAGCACAATAATGTCATATTCGCGGTGATGGTATGAGTAATCGCCGTATTGCGTGCGTATAGTGATAGTAGTCGCATCGTAGTAGTAGTAGTAGTAGTAGTAGTAGTAGTAGTAGTAGTAGTAGTAGTAGTAGTAGTAGTAGTAGTAGTAGTAGTAGTAGTAGTAGTAGTAGTAGTAGTAGTAGTAGTAGTAGTAGTAGTAGTAGTAGTAGTAGTAGTAGTAGTAGTAGTAGTAGTAGTAGTAGTAGTAGTAGTAGTAGTGGTAGGTGTATTCGTAATCATAGTATTAGTCGCTTCTTCGGGCCAAGAACGGCCCAAGAGGCCCGAAAGCTCGTTCCGAGACGGCCCAAGAGGGCCCCAAGAGGGCCCCAAGACGGCCCACGATGGCCCCAAGACGGCCCAAGAGAGGGGCCCTGGCGATCCTCATGGCTCCAAGATGGCCCCTTATGGTCCCAAGATATCGCCAGGGTGCTGTCCAAGAAAGCTGCGTCCTCATCGGCTCAAGGCTTCGCTGCGTCGAAGCCAACGGACAAATCCGAGGTGCCAGATGCAAATGTTCTAGGTGCCACTCAGGGCGGTTTTGGTTTGGGGCTTCCGAGCCACACACACACACCTTGCCAGGTGAAAAAGGGGGGGCTTCCAAAGCTCCCTCCCCCCTTTTTTTGTTTTCTCCGGGCGCGGGGAAAGCCCAGGCTCCCCTCTCCAAGGGGGGTGGGGGCCTCCCACGCTGCCCTCGCCCCCCTGGTGAAAAGGGGTGGGGGCTTGGAGGCTGCCTCCCCTCTACAGCGAGCGGCCTGAATAAGGAACACTTACCAGTCAAAAGGGACTCGGTCGTTCCTTAGGTTCGCATGCTTTATGTATCGTTCCCTATGCCTTACTCCTTGGAAATGAGGGGCTTCGTTCCTTATTCATCGTTCCTTAGGTCAGGCCGATGACTGGACCTTCCTTTTCGGGGCACGGGGTAAGCCTGGGCTCCCCTAGCCAGAGGGGAAGGGGCTTCCGAAGCTGCCCCCCTCCCCTCCTTCTGCTGGCATTTCGTGCTGGAGGGCCCTGGCTGAAGGGGGGCTCCGAAGCTACAGGTGTCGGAAACGATTAAGCAACTCTCGCGCATAACATATGGTGTGAACTCCCCCCCCTCCCCCCGAATGCAATGTTGGGCTCGGATCTCCCGAGTTTGAGTTTCGGACGAGTAGTCCGTAGACATACCAACTTTGAATTGCGGGGGAGGGAGCGTTGCTTTATTAATTCCCTCAACCGTACCTTTCCCTTTTTCTGGTTTTCGGCGCCATTTTGGTTTTCGGCACCCGGGTGGTTTTCGGCGCTCCTTGATTTTCGGCGCACCTTTGGTTTTCGGCACCCCGTTGGTTTCTGCGTTGCTTGTATTTTCGGCGCTCCTTTGGGTTTCCTGCGCGCCCTTTGGTTTCCTGCGCTTCTTTGGTTTTCGGCGCCCTCTTTGGCTTTCGGCGCTCTTCTGATTTTCGGTGCTTCTTGGTTTTCGGCGCCCTTTTGATGTTCGGCGCCCTCTTGGTTTTCGGCGCCTCTTTGGTTTTCGGGGCCCTGTGGTTTTCGGCGTTCATTTGGTTTTCGGTGCTCCTTTGGTCTTCTACGCGCCCTTTGGTTTCCGGCGCTTCTTTGGTTTTCGGCGCCCTCTTGGTTTCTGGCGCTCCTTTGGTTTTCGGTGCTTCTTGGTGTTCGGCGCCCTTTTGGTGTTCGGCGCCCTTGTGGTTTTCGACGCCCCTTTTGGTTTTCGGCTCTCATTTGGTTTTCGGTGCCGCTTTTGTTCCCAGTGCCCCGTCTGGTTTTTGGCACATCGTCGGTTTTCGGCGTTCTTTTGGTTTTGGCCGCTCCTTTGGTTCTCGGTACCCTCTTGGTTATCGGCGCCATTTTGGTTTTTCGGCGCATCGTTGGTTTTCGGCGCCCCGTTGGTTTTCGGCGTCCCTTCGGTTTTCGGTGCCCCTTTGGTTTTCGGCGCGCGTTTGATTTTCGGCGCCCTTTTGGTTTTCGGCGCCCCTTGGGTTTTCGGCGCCCCTTCGGTTTTCGGTGCCCTTTCGGGTTTAGGAGCCGCTTTGGCTTTCGGCGCCCCTTTGGTTTTTGACGCTGTTCTTGTTTTCGGCACTCTTCGGTTTTCGGCGCTCTTTCTGTTTTCGGCGCTTTTTTGGTTGTCGGCGCCCTTTTGGTTTTCGGCGCTCCTTCCGTTGTCGCCACTCATTTGGTTTTCGGCGCCCACTTGAGTTTTCGGCCCCATTTCGGTTGTCGGCGTTCTTTTGGTTTGGGGCGCTCCTTTGTTTTCGGCGCCCGCCCTTTCTGGCTTTCGTCGCTCCTTTGGTTTTCGGTACCCTTGTGGTTTTCGGCGCCCTTTTGGTTCTCGGCGCCCCTTTGGTTTTCAGCGCCCCTTTGGTTTTCGGAGCCCTCTTTGAATTTCGGCGCGTTCTTTTGGTTTTCGGTGCCTCCTCGGTTTTCAGCGCCCCTGGAGTTTTCGGCACATCGGTGGTTTTCGGCGTCCTTTGGGTTTTAGGCGCCTCTTTGGTTTTCGGCGCCTCGTTGGTTTTCGGCGCCCCTTCTTTTTTCGGCGTCCCTTTGGTTTCCGGCGCCTCTTGGGTTTTAGACGCCGCTTTGGTTTTCGGCGCTCTTTTGGTTGCCGGCGTTCCTTTTGTTTTCGGCGTCGTTTTAGTTGTCAGCGTTCCTTTGTTTTCCGCGCTTCTTTTTGGTTTCCGGTGACAGTTTGATGTTTGGCGCCCCTTTGGTTTTCGGCGCCGTCTTGTTGTTTTCGGCGCCCCCTTTGCTCCTCGGCGCACCTTTTTGGTGTCGGCGCTTATTTGGTTTTCGGCGCCGCTTTTTGTTTCAGTGCCCCTTATGGTTTTCGGCACATCGTTGGTCTTCGGCGTTCTTTTGGTTTTCAGCGTCTATTTGGTTTTCAGCGCCGTCCTGGTTTCCGGAGACCTTTCGGTTTTCCGTGCTCTTTGGTTTTCGGCACCTCTTTGGTTTTCGGCTCCCTTGTGGTTTTCGACGACCCTTTGGTTTTCGGCGCCCCTGTGGTTTTCGGCGTTCCTTTGGTTTTCGGTGCTCCTTTGGTTTTCTACGCGCCCTTTGGTTTCCGGCGCTTCTTTGGTTTTCGGCGCCCCTTTGGTTTTCGGCGACCTCTGGCTGTTCGGCGCTGTTCCTGTTTTTCGGCGCTCTTTGGTTTTTTCGTGCCCTTTTGGTTTTTGGCGCCCTTTTGTTCGGCGCCCCTGTGGTTTTCGGATACCTTTTTGGTTTTCGATGTCCTTTCGGTTTTCGACGCCCATCTGGTTTTTGACGCCCTTTTTGGTTTTCGGCGCCGCTTTGGCGTTTGGAGCGTCTTTGGTTTTCGGCGCATTTTAGGTTTTCGACACCCTCTTGGTTTTCGGTGCCCTTTTTTTTCCCAACCATCCTGCTGTTGGGTCCTCGTTTTGAAGAGATGGTCCCCGCGCCTCACTTCCTCTCCTCTCCTTGCCTCTGCCCTCATCAGCATGCGTCCCCCCCACCCAGTACAGCGTTTCGTGGTCCCATAGGGAGCTCCACCGAAGGCCCCAGCGGCTGCTCTCGCGCTCGTGGTCCTAGATATAACATCCCCGTTGGCCTCATCCTCTCCCGATGAATGGGTGGACGGCGACCCAGACGGACGATAACGACGACGAACGAGAACGGACGACGACGACGACGGCGACGACGGCGGCGTCGACGGATGACGGACGACGGCGACGACGTCGTGGACGACGATTGTGACGACGACGACGAGGACAGGACAACGGTCGACGGACGATCGACGACCGACGACCGACCTCCGCCTCCGGAGGTCTCTGACTGCCCCCTCGGTCCCCCGAGGGAGGCCACCAGACGCCTCCAAACGCTCAAGGCGTGCCAGAAGCGGCCAGAGATCTTGATCCGCGAGCTTCAGATTTTGACGACGACGTCGACGACGACGACGACGACGACGGCGACGATTACGACGACGACGACTACGACGACGACGACGACGACGACGACGACGCCGACGACGACGACGACGCCGACGCCGACGCCGACGCCGACGACGACGACGGCGACGACGGGCGACGACGGGCGACGGACGGCGACCGTGGCGGGGACTTTGCGAGGGACGGCGAACGGCCTCGGCGGCGGCGGCGGCGACGGCGGTGGCCGCGAGACCTCCGAGGCTCCGGCCCGCGGCGGCCGCCCGGCCCGCGCACGCGGGGCGCGGCGGCCTCCGCGGCGGCGCCCCTGCCGGAGGACGAGAAGGACCCCGGGGTCGTCGCCGCCGCCGAGGAGGAGGAGGAGGAGGAGGAGGAGGAGAGGAGGAGGAGGAGGAGGAGGAGGAGGGGGGGAGGAGGGGGAGGGGAGGAGGAGGAGGGGGAGGAGGGGGAGGCGGAGGAGGAGGAGGAGGGGGAAGGGGAGGGGAGGAGGAGGAGAAGGAGGGAGGAGGAGGAGGAGGAGGGAGGAGGAGGAGGAGGAGGACGAGGGAGGACCCTGCCAGAGCGTCCCCCCCCCCCACCCCCCGAGGTCGTCGCCGCCGCCGTTGCCGCTGTCGTCGCCGTCGCCGTCCGTCGCCGTCGCTGTTGCCGTCGTCGTCCTCGGCATCCTCCTCCCCCTCCCCTCTCCCCTGCTCCCTCCTCCGCCTCATCCTCGCTCCCTCCCTCCCTCCGCCCGTCTATGATGCACCAGGTTCTCTCGGAAGGGCCACCTGGCGCGTCATTTGACCTCCTAGGACGTCTCCCTGGCCACTGTGCTCTCTCCTCCTCCTCCTCCTCCTCCTCCTCCTCCTCCTCCTCCTCCTCCTTCCACCACCTACTGCTCCTCCTCGTCTTCCGCCTCCTCCTCCTCCTCCTCCTCCTCTTCCCCCACTCCTCCGTAGCCATCTTGACTGAAAATAGTTGTTTGGCCCCTTCACTGAATGGATACGGCCAATCCGCGAATTGTTCTCAGTCTTCAACCCTTTCTCACTCTTCTGGCCTTGTAGATGTCCCTCCACACCTTCCATACTGACCCAAGGTCCTCCCCTCCCTTGTGTGGGAGTGCGCATCATGGCAGGCCGAGGCGAAGGTGTTTCCATGGCACCTGGAGGCAGTAAAGGTGAGCCGGCAGCAGCATCCACGCATGGGAGTGCAGAGTTTGCTGGCGATTCGCAGGGTCGCAGCAACACTCGGAGTGGAGCTCAACGGAGACGGAGATCACGACGCCGCCAGCTCAAACCTCCTGCTCAATCTGATTGCGCCGACCGTCGTGGTGTAGGGCGCTCTGCTGCAAGTGTTAAGTCGGGCACGTCCCTCTACAGGGGGAATATCTTAAAAAATAGTCTGGGGACGGTTTTTCTATCATCTGCTTGACGATGTGGGAATATTTCCCTACGTAGGCTCTGCCTAGAAGGGTTCTTACTCTCTTAGCTTAAAGGGGCCGGGTAGTGTTCCTCGCTCCGGGCGGTTCCCCCGGCATCCGCTCCGCGGTTCCCCCAGTTACGGCCCCTTAGCTTAGCGTTGCTTATCTCATCTTAGCTTAGCTTATTTCATCTTAGTTTAGCTTAGCGTCATCTTAGCTCAGGTTTATCTTAGCTTAGCTTACCTCCATCTTAGCTTCGCTGAGCTTTATCATAGCAGAGCACAGCATAGCATAGCGTAGCGTAGCATAGCATAGCGCAGCACAGCATATCATAGCATAGCCCAGCATAGCATGGCATGGCGCAGCATAGCATAGCATAGCATAGCGCAGCACAGCACAGCACAGCATAGCACAGCGCAGCATAGCATAGCGTAGCATAGCAGAGCATAGCATAGCATCGCAGCAAAGCAAAGGCAAATCAACAGCAGCGACAGCAAAGCAAAACACAAGCAACACAAAGCAAAGCAAAGCAAAGCAAATCAAAAGCAAAAGCAAAGCAAAGGAAAGGCAAAGCAAAAGCAATGTGTGACAGATGCCGAGCTAGCCCCGATGGCCGGACCGGAGCCCCCGCAAGCAGTGCCTTCCGTAACCATTTCGGCTCAAGTCCGGAGGCCCTGCCACACAGCCGCCCACGCTCATGTCCCGAGGTTGGCGGAGTGAGGCGTGCAGCGGTGCTGCACAGCCCGCCTCGGCACCAGGTGGTGCTGCACAGCCCACCGGGCCTGTTGTGGCCATCGATGTGGATAGCGCAGCATAGCATGCCATAGCACAGCGCAGCATAGCATGGCATAGCATAGCAGAGCATAGCATAGCAACTAATGCTGCTTTCCTAGGGGCTCCAACTTCTAGGTAGGGTTGCACTGGGGTAACTCTTGATTTGAATGTTTAAAACAAACCAACGCCCAACATCCGCCTGTAGGGGGACGCGCCCGACCCAGTGCAGGTGGAACTCGTCAATCCGACCCGCTGCAGCGTGCAGAAGCCGAGCTCTGCCGGGGAGGCGGGGGCGAGGCAGCCGCCCCAGTCCTGGCGAGGCGGACCTTCAGCCAGCTCGAAGCGGGAAGAGGAGGAGGAGGAGGAGGAGGAGGAGGAGGAGGAGGAGGAGGAAGGGACAGCGAAGGATGAGAGGGAGGAGGAGGCGGAGGAGAAGGAGGAAGAGAAAGAGGAGGAGAGGAGGAAAAGGAGGAGGAGGAGGAGGGGGAGAAGAAGGAGGAGAGGGAGAAGGAAGAGGAGGACAAGTGTAAACCCAAGACGCATCAACGATGTTGCAATCAACCCTGTCTCCAGGTTCCCTCTTCACAGTTACCTGCTATTGTATTTGTTTAGTTGCGGGGGGAAGATGTGGGAAGACACTCGTCTGAGAACCCCCAACCGTGCCAAACCCATTCCTGCGACTTCGGCGACGGGAATCAACGTGACTGTTGCGTCCTGATAATCCTAAGTTGTGCCTGAAGGCCACGCTTGGGACTTCAACACCGCGAATACACGTGACTGTTGCGCCCTGACAATCCTAAATTCTCCCGGGATGCATTTCCTGAGATTTCAACCGTGCGAATCCTTGACGGCTGCAAATGTTCAAGACGAACGTGCTGAACAATAGCCGCCCTCCATCTTTGAAGCTGTTGCGAACTTGTAAGACGAGTGTGCGCGGCGCTAAGGCGAGAGAGTCCTTTTGAAAACGACCTGGCCTCCATCCGTGAAGCTGTTGCAAACCTTTGAGACGAATGCGCGCGGCGCGAAGGCGACAACCACATTTAGACAACGGCTTCCCATCCATCCGTGAAATTGTTGAGAACTTCTTACACGAATGTGCTTGACGCTAAGGCGAGAACGACATTTTGAAAACGGCCCGACCTCCATGCGTGAAGCGGCTGCAAATTTGTAAGGCGAGTGTGAGCGGCGCTGAGGCAAAGAGCACATTGTGAAAACCACCCGCCCTCCATCCGTAAATTTCTGCAGCTCTCGATCTCCAGAATCATGCCAGAACGCTATTCCTGCGACTTCAACACCGCGAATCAACGTAACTGTTGCAGCCTCATAATCTGGAATCCTTCCCAAAAACTATTTTTGGTACGTTGATCCTGAGAATCGGTCGAACTCTTGCAACTGTTATAAACGAATGCGCGCGGCGCTAAGGCGAGAGCCGCATTTGAAAAGGAATCACCATCACTCCGTGAAACTCTTGCAATTGTTTGCAACGAATGTGCGCGGCGCTAAGGCGAAAGCAACATGTTGAAAACCATCCGCCCTCAATCCGTGCAGTTCTTGCAGTTTTTAACCGAATGTGCGCGGCGCTACGGCGAGAGCCACATGTTGAAAACCATCCGCCCTCCATGTGTGAAACTGTTGCCATGTTTAAAGCTTCAGGGTCATAACCGGTGAAGACGTCTCAGGCGAAACGCCCAGCCCGCACTAAAAGCTGGCCTCGGGGCGCGACAGGGAGAAATTGTCTACAAGACGAGGAATGGAGGAGGAGGGTGGGAGGGGGAGGAGGGGGAGGAGGAGGAGGAGGAGGACGAGGAGGAGGAGGAGGAGGAGGAGAAGGAGGACGAGGAGGAGGAGGAGGAGGAGGAGGAGGAGGAGGAGGAAAGGAAGATAAATGAGGACGAGGAGGGGAAAGCCCTCTTGGGGCCTCCTGGGAGCCTTCTGGGAGCCTGCTGGGGGCCTCCTGGGGGGCCTCTTGTGAGCGTCTTGGGAGCCTCCTGGGGCCTATTGGGGTTCTCTTGGGGCCTCTTGGGCCGTCTTAGGGAGGGCTGGCCCGTCTGACGCCTTCGGAGGCCATCTTGGAGGCTTTTCTGGGACGTCTTGGTGCCCTCTTCGGGCGCTTTGGGGCAGTCTTGGGGCCCTCTTGCGAGGCTCTTGGGCGATCTCGGGGTCCTCTTGGGCCGACTTGCTGCCTTCTTGGGGGCCTCATGGGCTGGCTTGGAGCTATCTTGGAGGTCTCTTCGGGTGTCTTGAGCAGTCGGAAGCCTAAAACTACGAAAACTCCCAACTCCTTCAAGCACCTAATGAAGATCAATGGTTTTTGCTTACTCGGGCTCTCTTGGAAGGCCTCTTCGAGCCCTCTTGGGCCGTCTTGGGAGCCTGTTGAGCTATCTTGAGACCGTCTTTGGAGCCTCTTGAGCCGTCTGGGGCCATCGTGGGCCGTCTTGGTGTCATCTTTCTTGGAGGCCATCTTGCCCGTTCGGATGCCGTACAGAGCGCGGGAAAGCAATTTCAGGGGGGACGATTTTCTGACGATGCGCGTGTCGGGGTGTGTGTGGTCGGCCCTCGAGAACTAGAAAGAAGCTTCCCAGACAACAGCAAGGCCGATGTCTGTCATACGGCAGCAAGCATTCTAACACGCCCACTCCGTGCAAGCACGTTGACGGACCCCAAGCCGGCCCAAGCCCCCCAAGACGTTCCAAGAGGGCCAAGGGGGCCCCCACAGAGGCCAGAGAGCCTCCCAGGAGGAGAGCCCCGAGGGAGCCACAGGATGCTCGCAAGAGGGCCCCGAGAGTGCCCCAAGCCGGCCCGAGCCCCCCAAGACGGCCCAAGAGGGTCCCAGAGGGCCCCCAAACGGCCCCAAAGACCCGCAGTAGGCATCCAAGAGGCACTCCGAGATGCCTCCAAGAGCCCCTTACGAGGCCCCACCAGAGCGAACCGTGCCGGCAATCACTGTGACCGCCAAGGCTCCTCGGAGTGGACGGTGACATACCAACTCTGATCACCACGGCGGCCGTCCTACCGTGACTCGCACTCCACGTTGCTCCAACGAGCATGCGTGGCAATCCCTATGGCCAAATCGCTGCCGCGCAAACGGCCGCCGAACCCCCGAGACCGTGTGAATTACCCGCTCCACGGACCCGCTCTTCCCGTTCCCGTGCCGGCCCAGG